CTGGTAGAGCGCTGTGGTGTCACAGCTCACAGCAAACTCAAACTCTTAGGCTCAAGCAATTCTCTTGCCTCAGCCTCCAAGTAGCTGGGACTACAGGTGCCCGCCACAATGCCCGGCTATTTTTTGTTATAGTTGTCATTGTTGGTTAGCTGGCTGGGCCTGGTTCGAACCTGCCAGCCTCAGTGTATGTGGCATAACCACGGTGCTGGGGGTGCTGAGGCTACTCTCAGAAGTCTTAAAGTGGGCGTTGATACCAGCTTGAATGGGTAGAAGAGCTAGATCGTTGTGCAAAATGTTTCTAACTGTATAAATTCTTTACGAAGTGTTCTAACTTTATATATTCTTATTCTTTTTTTTTTTTTAGAAATTGGCCAAACTTCTGCTTTGTGGCACTGAGTTGGTGACAAATATCCAGGTGGCCACAGATACCAGAGAGATCAACAGGAGAGTGGAAGAAGAGGAAATAAAGCGTCAGAGGTAAGGAGTACATGGCTCTGCAGCCTGGTGGCCATGAAGGGAATGTCCTCTCTGGGGCCCTAAATTCTCTCAGATCATTGGAAAGTGACTTTGTCCAACTTAGGCTAGAAGAATCTCCTTCCTGCCTTTGTGACTCCTCCCTCCCTGCCTTTCCCCCTCCTGCCTTTCCTTCGAATGTGTCAGCATTACATTGCTGCTGTGTACCAAGCTGTGTATACAAAAGGACTGAAATGGTAGCCTCTGCTTGTAACATTCACAGTCTAGTTGAGGTAGATATGGAAACATCCAACCATAATTTGTGGTAAAATAAAGGTACGTGTAAAGAGTTGTAGCAACACACAGGAAAAGGCCTTTCATTCTCTCTGCAGAGATTAGAGAAAACTTCCCAGGCAGGGTGACAGTGAGGCCACACTGGGAATGGCATGGTAGACAGGATGCATGCGGGTGGGGGCAGAGGAAGAGATGAAGCTGAGAAGGTGACTGACTGAGCATTCATGGTTTAAACTGATCAGAATGACCAGGGCCACAAACCTCTCAGTGTTATGTTAAAGATAGTAGTGTATTAAAAAATATTAAAGGCTCCTTGCCTAGAAGGATGGAGGATACGAAGGATCACAGAAACCCGTGCCACACCCTCAGCTCCAGTCCTCGCTCAGCAGGCAGGCTGCTTTGCACACCCATCTTCCCAGGTCCCAGGTTCTGCAACAGGGAGCCTAAGCTCTTTTGAAGGATTAAATTTCTTTGGTTTGTACACAGAAATGGAATGACAGCAGGGACAGAGGTCCGAATTTAAACCGCTACTTTGGGTTTAGAAGAGCAATGACTTGACCACTTTAGCTCATCTCACCATATACCCAGTACAGGGTTGATCAGCATTATTTTTAGTTGTTAAGCGTAAGTAGTTCCCTTATTAGCAACTTTACCAGCTCTACCAGTATTTAACTGGTGACTTTACTCTCCAGACTTCCACTGCCTGCATGGTTGAACCAGGAGCTGTGCTGGCTGATTCCCAGCGGTGTTGGCTTGTGAAAGGCTGTGAATGGAGGACGTGCTGAGGAGTTAGGCTTCATTCTACAGCCTTGATGAAAATATTGAAGGTCTTAAACGGCAGAATTACAAGATGTGTTTTTGAAAGATGACCTGATGGCTATTTTTCATTTCCTGAAGTAAAGAAATCAATTAGATCATTATATGTATTATGTGCCCTAGCTGGGTGGGATGGGGAGTGGGAAAGGGAAAGAGAGGATGGCATGATGTTTAAACTGTGATTCTTGTCCCTAAGGGATCTGCGCTGTTATTTGGAGACACTCTTATAGAATTCCAGACTGTTAATGTAGGAGAGGGTCTCTGGCAAATCTCCCGGCTCTGTTCTCTACAGGGGCTTCCAGCTCAGCTCTCGGGCTGCCCTTCAACCCCATCCTACACTCAGCATGCCCCATCACAGAGCTTCTTTGGAATTTACAGAAAAGGCATCCTTATTTTTCATTACTCATAGTGGAGTTTCCCTATTTGTACATTCCACTAGTCATTTATTGATTACTTAGCGAGGAGGAGCCAGACACGTAATGTCATATTGCTAATAAAAAATTAATAATTTAAGTAACTACCATGCCGAGCACCTGTGCAGGTCATCATCTAATCTCATCCTTCCACCAGCTGCACGTCAGAGGGGACACTTTCATCCTCTCCATTCTACAGATGAAAAAAATGAGGCTGACAGAGGTTAAGAAACTTGGTCAAGGCTGAGATTCTGTTAGTAGCAAAGTCAGGACTTGAACACAAGTTGTGTGACTCTTCCTACCAAGTGTTTTAACTATCCTGTCATCATCCTACTCAGAAGGATGTGACCGAAGAACTCATTTTTCTCCCTTTTTGGTTAAAAACAATACAAATTTGTCTTAACAATTCTAAAGATCAGAAGTCCAAAATCAGTGTCTGTGGGCTAAAGTCAAGGTGAGGGGGAGAGCTACATTCCTTCTGAAGGCTTTTGGGAGAATCTGCTCTTTGACTCTTCTGGGTTTTAGAATTTGCCTGTGCTCCTTGGCTCATGACTCCTTCCTTCATCTCTCAAGCTACCAGCATAGCATCTTCCAAGCTCTGTCTCTTTGCTTCCATCATCATGTCTCCTTTTCTGCTTCTGACACTCCTGCTTCCCTTTTCTAAGTGTCCTTGTGATTACATTGGGCCCACCAGAATTATCCAGTATAATCTCTCCTCAGTGGACACTTGATCTTTGTGTGTGTGTATGTGTGTATAGGCTACTGTTGATCTGTTTTTGCAATGTGTCACTCTATTTACTTGGTCTAAGGTAAGTTAAGTATTAAACTAAAAAGATTTTTCTCAGTATTTAGTTTGGTTTGGAGTAGGTGTGCCGGAGAGAAGTGTCTGGTGCCTGGGGCCTGTCTTACAGACTTTTACGGAAGCCAGCATCTGGAGTACAGTTGGCATGACTGGCATCGCTGGCATGTTTGTGTTTGCAGAATTGAGAAGCTAGAGAATGAAGTTAAGACAAGCCAGGACAAGTTCGACGAAATTACCGCAAAGTGGGAAGAGGGCAAACAGAAGAAAATCCCCCAGGACCTGTGGGAGATGCTCAACTCTCAGCAGCTGCACTGTGCTGGGCTGATAGAGGATAAGAACAAGCTTATCAGCGAGTTACAGCAGGCAAGAGCCGGGCCCTCTGCCCCAGACACGTGGGGTCTGGCTGGGGGGTCTAACTGGGTTACTGGTGTGCTGGATATTTTCTGAATGGAATAATATGGAAGACTTTTACTTCATTACTTAGGATGCTGCACAACTTGAATGGTAAACTTTAAAATAACTTTTTTTTTTTATTATGGTAAAAAAATAACATTAAATTTACTATCTTTTTCTGGTTGTTTGTTTTTGGTTTTTTGAGACAGAGTCTCACTATGTTGCCCTGGGTAGAGTGCTGTAGCATCACAGCTCATAGCAACCTCCAACTCTCCAACTCTTGGGCTTAAGTGATTCTCTTGCCTCAGCCTCCCAGTAGCTGGGACTATAGGCGCCTGCCACAATGCCTGGCTGTTTTTTGGTTGCAGTTGTCGTTATTGCTTAGCAGGCCTGGGCTGGGTTCAAACCCACCACCCTAGGTGTATGTGACCGGTGCCCTGCCGACTGAGCTATGAGCACCGCCTTTTTGTTGTTATTGTTTAGACAGAGTCTCACTCTGTTGCCTTGGGTAGAGGACTGTGGTGTCATAGCTAACAGCAACCTCTAACTCTTGGGCTTGAGCAAACTTCTTGCCTCAGGCTCTTGAGCAGCTGGGACTACAGGCTCCTGCCACCATGCTGGGATGGTTTTTCTATTTTTAGTAGAAACTAGGGATGGGGTCTCCATCTTGCTCAGGCTGGTCTCAAACTCCTGAGCTCCATGATCCACCTGCCTTGACCTCCCAGAGTGTTAGCATTACAGGTATGAGTCACCATGCTGGGCCGAATTTCTTCTTTTTTAAAGCTGAACATTCTATTGTGTGTATATAGCGCATTTTCTTTATCCATTTTTTTTTTTTGAGACAGATATTCACTTTGTCGCCCTCAGTAAAGTGCTGTGGCATCACAGCTCACAGCAACCTCATACTCTTGGGCTGAAGAGATTCTCTTCAACCTCCCTAGTAGCTGGGACTATAGGCGCTTGCCACAATGCCTGGCTATTTTTAGAGGCAGGGTCTTGCTCTTGTTCAGGCTGATCCTGAATCCGTTCTGCTCAGGCAATCCACCTGCCTCAGCCTCCCAGAGTGCTAGGATTACAGGTGTGAGCCACCGTGTTGACATGTACCATGACTATATGCATTTTTATAGCAAATTTCAGATTTTTTTTTTATTGAATGGTAACTATGTACATTAATGCACTTCTGGGGTACAGTGTGGGGTTTTCACACACCGAAACACTTCCATCAAACTGGTTAACATAGTCTTCATGTCACTTTCTTAGTTATTATTTCAAACGTTCACATTCTACTCCTAGAAAGATTCACTTGTACCCTTGTAAGACAAACCTCAGAAGTGATCCCTTCAATACAAATTTCAGATTTTATGTTCTTTTTTTTTTTTGAGACAGAGTCTCAAGTTGTCACCCTCAATAGAATGCTGTGGCATCACAGCTCACAGCAACCTCAGACTCTTTGGCTTAAGTGATTCTCTTGCCTCAGCCTCCCAAGTAGCCAGGACTACAGGTGCCTGCCACAATGCCCCACTGTTTTTTGGATGTAGTTGTCACTGTTGTTTGGCAGGCTGGATTCGAACTCGCCACTCTGGTGTATGTGACTGGTGCCCTAGCCGCTTAAGGAGCTATAGGAACCAAGCCAGATTTTATGTTCTTCCTTTTTTTTTTTTTCTGAGATAGAGTCTCAAGTTGTTGCCCTGGGTAGTGTGCCGTGGTGTCACAGCTCACAGCAACCTCCAGCTCTTGGGCTTAGGTGATTCTCTTGCCTCAGCCTCCCAAGTAGCTGGGACTACGGGCACCCACCATGACACCTGGCTATTTTTTTGTTGCAGTTTGGCCAGGGCCGGGTTTGAACCCTCCACCCTCGGTATATGGGGCTGGCACCCTACTCACTGAGCCACAGACGTTCTTAATTAAGGAATGGAACTTAGTCTGCAGTAGATATGTTCCCATGGTGGAACAAGAACATTATTTGTTCAGTGGGACTTCTAGGCTTTCCCAGAGCCTGCAGGGAGATTTGCTGCAAGTGATAATTGCAGGGTTTGATCCTGGGCACTGGTTCAGAGCTTTGTCCTGAGCTGGCCTATTTCACTCTATGCATTTGTGCTTTCCCCCGGGTCTTCTTAAACTCTTCTGAAATCATTTTCTCTTTGTACAGTTTTAAGTCCTAGTGTTTGAAGATTCTGGTGAGAGGGGTCCAGGGACGGTGGGCTTGGCACCTCTTGCTTCCGTTTTAGTTTATGACCAACCTTTTACATGTTCTTTTCTAGGAGTTAAAAACAAAGGATGACCAGTATGTGAAGGATTTGAAGAGACAATCAGATGACATCTGCCTGCTTCTAGAGAGGATGGAAGAACAAGTGAAGAATGTAATGAAAACCTTTCGCCAGGAGCTCCATCACATTGAGGTAATGAGGTGTGAAAAGACCTGCTTTCTGCACTTGGGAGGGTTGAGGTCTGGGTCTGCCCTAATGAGCTGATGAAGTCCTAGGTGTCCCTGTCCTCTGATTTCCATTTTTTATTTTTATTATTTTACTTTTTTTTTTGAAACAGAGTTTCCTATATTGTCCTCAATAGAGTGCCAGGGCATCATAGCTCACAGCAACCTTAAACTCTTGGGCTTAAGCAATTCTCTTGCCTCAGTCTCTCAAGTAGCTGAGACTACAGGCAACCACCACAATACCTGGCTATTTTTGTTGTCATTGATGTTGTTATTGTTGTTCTAGTTGTCACTGTTTAGCAGGCCTGGGCTGGGTTTGAACCTGTCAGCTCCAGTGTATGTGGCCGGCGCCCTAAGCACTGAACTACAGGTGTCGAGCCTGTCTTCTGATTTCTGATTCTGCTCTGGGGTTTCATTAATTTATTTACTCATTCATTCACTCAACTCAATAAATATTCATCAGATATCTGCTTTATGCCAGACACTGTCCCAGGGGCTGGAGATGCAGCTGTGAACAAAACAAAGTTCCTGATGGAGCTTATATTCTAGTGGGAGAGTATTTGACAATAAACAAATACATTACTCAATATATTGATGTAATTTGACGGATGATAACAAGTGCTTTGAAGAGAGTAAGACAGGCAAGAGGATGAGCAGTAAAAGAGGGAGGTTAGTCTTCCATAACCTAAGGTGTATGTGAGCCATCCATTTGTTTCTTCTTGGCATTTGGGGGAGGTCATGATGAAGGACAGCACCAAACAGAATTCAAGAAGCAGTACTTTGAATCTGAATGAAACATTAAAGATTGAGACTGAGATTTAGTCCTTTCTAAGAGGGAAGAGAGCCAGGAGGGTGGGGACCTCTGTGGATTATTGGAGACTCATTGTTGTGTTCCTAGTCCTTACAAGCTGCTTGCTGCCTTTGCTTCATGGGAACCCCAATCAGGGCAATGTGCCATCTCTAGTTGTGATTGAATGACGTGCCAGGATTTGCCCTGTGACTGCTGACAAGGGCCCTGGCCTCCCCCCCAGTGTCCTGCCTCTTATAATGACTAAGCCATGGCACTATTGGCGCATTTCTCTCTGCGTTCAGATGTCATAATTGCCATGTAACTGCTTCTGTAGCCATTTGGTCACATGAAACTTGGCAAGTCTGCAACTGGATTTGACTGCATCAGTGTGGTTGGTGACATGGCCCTTGTGCATTTATCTAAAAGTTCTCTGATACTGGTGGGACCTGCCCAATCAAAACAGACACAAGAAACCTTTTTCCTTCTTGCTCGTAGAAAGCATTTGAAGTGGAACGACAGGAGCTACTGACCAATAATAAGAAGAAATGGGAGCGGGCACTGCAGGCTCACAATGCCAAAGAGGTAAAGGGAGGCAGACAGGGGGAGGGTGTCAAGAGTGACCAGTGGGATATGGGGTGATTTCTACCGTGTCTGAATTTGCTAGCCTTTCTGTGCCTCGAGTAGAGTTGCCATGCCTCACTGCCGCACCTCGTGGCTGATCAGTGTGGCCTTGCAGGTGGGAGCTGTCTCTATGGGGGTGATGTGTCACCACCTAGGCAGCTTGCTGTGGTTTCTGTGGTCTTGTCACTTCCTCCTTTGTTTCCTGGGTAGCTACCCTAGCCATGAATAGTCTTGGCCTAAGATGTTTTAATACACATTTTTAAAAGGTGTGGGATTATCATTTTATTTCAGAGACATAAAGAACAAAGAAGTGATTCTGGTGGACTTTTTTAGGAACATAAACATCTCATTTCAGGATCTGTGCTTCATTTTTCTTTTTGTTTCTCTTCTTTTCCTTTCTCTTTCTTTCTTTCTTTCTTTCTTTCATTTTTCCTTTTTCTTTTCTTTTCTCTCTCTCTTTTTGGAGATAGTTTCATTTTGTTGCCCCAGGCTGGGGTGCAGTGGTGCCATCATAGTTTACAGCAACCTCAAACTCCTAGGCTCAAGTAGTTCTCCTACCTCAGTCTCCTGAAAAGCTGGGACCACAGGCAAAATGCCACCATGCCTGGCTATTTTTTTTCTATTTTTAGTAGAAGTGGAGTCTTGTTCTTGCTTAGGCTGGTCTTGAAATTCTGACTTCAAGAAATCCTCCCATTTTGCCCACCCAGAGTGCCAGGAATATAGGCATGAGCCACTGTGCCTGGCCATGTGCTTAATTTCTTTTTCTTTTTCTTTTTTTTTTTTTTTTTGAGACAGAGCCTTACTTTGTCTCCCTTGGTAGAGTGCCGTGGTGTCATAGCTCACAACAACCTCCAACTCTTGGGCTTAAGCAATTCTCTTGCCTCAGCCTCCTGAGTAGCAGGGATTACAGGCACATGCCATGATGCCCGGCTATTTTTTGTTGCAATTCTCATTGCTGTTTTTTAGGTGGCTGGAGCTGGGTTCAAACCTGCCACCCTCAGTATATGGGGCCGGCACCTTACTCACTGAGCCACAGGCACTACCCATGTGCTTAATTTCTTAATGAAGCCATCCTCTTTGAGTTTCTGGGGTAAGGACCCCATTAAGCAATATAAGCCATGGCCCAAGAATTCAAAGCTAGGGGCATTCAAGAGTTCTGAAAACCACCAGATTCTCAGCAGAGTCATGAAACCCTCCATGGTGTCATGCGTCTCAGGCCATCTGTAGGGACTGAGTTGGGGCAGGGATGGTCCCTAACTTTTCCTTTATCTTTTTGTGCCTTTAGTTGGAGTATCTCATGAACCGCATTAAGAAAGTAGAGGACTACGAGAGGGAGCTAAACAGGCAGAGGATCTGGGATTGCGAAGAGTATAACATGATCAAGATCAAGCTGGAGCAGGATGTGCAGGTGCAGTCATTTCTCCTCACTAAGGCTTCTGGGTGGCAGAGCAGATGGCAAATATCCATGAATGTTTCCTCTTTAGCGACTAAGTGTCCTAGTCTAGAATTAACAAATATTTGTTATCTGCTTTCTTTTAAATGATCAAATCTAAAGGACGATATCCATGTATAGGAAATACATGGAGGAATGCTTTCTTTAAGAAACCAGTGGAGAACTGCCAAGATGCTACAGGGGTCTGGAGACCATGGCATGTGAGGAATCTCTGAGAGAATTATGCCTTTTACTCTGCTGAATGGAAACCGTCCCTAGAGCAAATTAGCTGCATCAGAGGGCCCAAGCTAGGGACCTCTACTGCTAATAACAGCAACCATCTGATGAGCATGTACCCTATTCTAGGCACTTAACAAATAGTATCTCTAATGTTTATAGTAACATGGAAGGGAGAATAGCATTGTATACATCTGGAAACTGAAGCTCAGAATTAAGGCTGCATATCTAGTATATGGGTAAACCCTGGATTCAAACCCAGTCTGGCTGAAAAGCCTGAATCCGTCTCCTTATTCCAATCAGCCCCCTAACTGATGTTTGGAAATCATAGGAAGGTAGATTTTGACTCACCATCAGAAAGAACCTTATTATAGCTAAAACATCCAATATTCAACAAACGGACCTTTCATGAAACAAAGGGTCCTTTATCTCAAAGTATGCAAAAGCTGAGTGATTGTCTGTCTTAAAGGATTCTTGCAGTAGTAGGAGAAGACTTTCTGGTAATTGCATCTGAAGATTCAAGCACAGTGTATTCATTTCAGTCTCTATGTAGAAAACGGTGTTGGATTAAGACTTTTCCACAAGCTGTTGGTAGAATTTCAGTTCTTAGTCTTCCTGTAACTTTACATCGTGAGAATAAATCAAAACTCCATAGATTAAGAATATATTTGCCAGTCTTGACAATTTCCCCAGGTCCTTCTCATAGTAATGTCATGGAAATGAGACTGACAGAAGAATACAAGTCTGCAAGAGAGTGCCACTACTTCCGTGGGCTATGATTTTACAGAAATTGGCTATGGTGAAGCTTTCTAAATTAATCTTGGCTGTATGATAATTTATGTGACAAAACCATGTACTTAGGGCTCTAACAGTGAGATATATGGAACTTTGTGTTCTTAGTGTGATGTTCAAACACCTGAATGAAGTCTAAAATTCTAGGACCTGGTGAGATGATGGGGTAGAGATATGGGGATAGGCAGAGGGAGAGAAGGAGACCTGGGAGACCTGGCTGTCCTGACTGCCCCCGTCCAGATGGGCTGATAGTGGCATGTGTGGATGTGGGAGGCTGGTAGGTGGAGGCACTCAGAGTGGAAAGGGGGTGCATCTCCTTCGCATTTACAGTTTTTCCCCACGCTAGACAGAACCTGAGAGCACTGTACCACTTTCTACACTTCAAGTGGAAGAAAACTCATTGAATTGGGGACTAGCCATATGGCAACATGTAGGATATTTTAGGAGACTGGACTTTATCATCGTACCCTTCCATTTGACATTCAAGTCAAATGTCGTTGATTTGTATCAAGAAGATACAGCATGTAGCTCAACATGCAATTTGCTCTTCCCAACTAATCCGTAGCACTGTATCAGTTCTAAAATATGGAATTAAAAATCCTTGCAAAGCACAAGAACAGTAAGAATCAATGCACGCAGATTTGGTTTGATGAGTAAAGTATGAGAAGTAAAAAATAGACTATCTACTGTTCCAGTGTTTCCTGCCAGTAAAAGTAACATTATTTATGACTGGATCAAAGAGAAGGTGAAAAACAGTACGCATTCAAGTGGGATTTCACCACTCAAAATTAAATTGCTAGAAACATTTACTTCTTGATGCAGGAAGCAAATGTTCTTTATTTTAAAAACTCCCATGCTCATTTAAAATTGTAACATGGTTCAGTTCCACTTTAGGAGGTATTACCTTTAACATCAGAATATTAATCATAAAAAATTAAATTGTCTAACAAATATTGTTAACCTGCATTATGCAAAGTACAGAGAAAAACAAGATATAGTCCCTGCCTTCAAGCTCTATAATCTATTGAACTTGAGTGTTGGGGCAGAAGTGGGGAGCAAGAGTGTGGGCCCCAGGGGGAATTGGCAGCCCTGCAGTTCCAACAGGGGATACTTCAAGCCCAGCCCGGGCTCAAGAATAAGCAGGCCAGTGGGATCAGCTGAGAAGGCCAAAGAGAAAGGCTGTTTTAAATTTCCATCTGCTGGGGCATTGATGGCAGCTTCTTTTCCTGAGCCTGTTGGCAGGAGATGGCACCCAAAAGAAACTGTGGAAAAGCTCAAGTTGCTCCAGGAAAAAGAGAGGAAGGTGTGACCGACACCTGTGGTACTTTTTAACATTGAATGTTTGTGGCAGGTTAGATTGTAATCTTTATGAATGATTCCTAGAGCCCAAACATCATGTTTTGCATTTGTCTTGGGAACATAAAGTGCAACTTGGAAAAATATCTTTGGATACTAAGCACATTTAACAAAATCAATTACAGTTTTAAAACCATTTTCAATGTCTGACAATCAAGGATTACTATTATTTAGACTAAAGCCTGAGATCATTAGTAGGATCATCGGTATTAAAATTATCATGAGCATAAAGTATGAAAACAATGATGAGTAGCATAGATCAGGTCATTCCCACTGTATGTGGACTCTACTCTAAGAGACATAAGAGTGTCAATAGTCCTGGAAGTTTATTGACCACTCTGCCCATGTGTCCCAAGTGGCATAATAAACAGGAGGCCAGCAGGAGGTTGGTAGAGATGGTGGCCCATGGCACCTGTTGTGTGGCTAAACCAGGCATTAGTCCCCTAGGTACACACTTTATCAAAAAATGGGAGCACATTTTTCTACAAGAGGAAATAGAAGCAGCTAATAAATATTCAAACACACGTGCAAACAAAGGAATGTGAGTTAAAATGACAGGGTTTTTTTGCCTATAAAATTAGCACATCTAAATTCTTTCAGATTACAAAGAAAAAGATAATGACCAAATTAGTTCACTATAGAGTTCTGTGAACTGTGTTCAGCTAGGTCAGATGCTAGAAGTGCTTTCATAGAGCTAACAGAAAGAGTGATATCTGTGATATTTTTTCCTTTCAAGATAAAATTATATTATGTAGGAAAAAATACATGGCTCATTTACATAGTTATTATGCAAGAATCTGCCTTTAAGAATAAGCTTCGTCTAAGAGTTCATGTGGGAGAGCTGACATTTATAGCTCACATACTCTTGTGTGTTGTAAAAATTAAACCACTCTGGCCATTTGAGTGTGGGAAATACTGTCTTCGGGATAGAGGTGCACTACAAAGCTACAAGAGGAAGGCAGACTCCCTGGAAATCACCGAGCATGCAGGCATTCCGGGTCTCAGGGCTCCTGCCTTTGTCAGTTCCAGGGAAGACTGGAGCAGCCACTTGTCATGGTCCCAGATCCAGAGCAGCTCTGGAGACCCTCCTTTTCTGTGAGTGTTCCTACTTTCTCACACTGTTACTGTCCAACACGGAGCTTTTTTAACGGACTTTTGTGCTGGACCATTCACATTGGAAAGAAAAACCAATGGCCCCTCTCATGCCAGCTTATGTGTATTTGATTTGTATTCTGATCCCCAGTACACTCAGTTGTCACCAGGGCTGGTTGTATTCGAAGCAGCAAGGCTGGTTTTACTTGAAGAATAGGGGTAGAGATCACTGTACCTTTGCAGCAAGAACTGCTGAGAGTCCCTTTCTCTGGTTGACACTCAGGGCCATGAGGGGACAGGCCGAGAGCAACTCAGCCTGGGACCCTACAGATAATTGCACTTGAAATGAGGCTGCACTGTGAGGGCCCCACAGGGCTCTGTAGAATATTGTTCAAGTCAGAAATCTCAAAATTAAGTCATGATCATGGCCAGGAAGACTCAGGTATAGATCCCCTCAGCTCCCTGCTCCACCCCAAGAACCTTGCCCAAGGGTGAAGCCTGCTCTGAACAATTGAACCAAGCTGACTGGGTGTGGTGGGGTGGGTACTCGCAACCACAGTCAGTGCGAGTACAAACCACAGGTTGCTTTTTGTAAAATACTTTATAGAGAACTTTTGACCTAGTCATTTCACTTCTAAGAATCTACCTTAAAGAAATAAAATACCCTGAGATTTTCATACATGTTTTATCCTAGCATTATTTTATAATAATGCAAATTACCAAAACGATATAAAATAGAACTGTAGGGAAATGGTAAAATGTTTTGACATGATAAATACATAAATAATTCATGTGTGATAAAATAGTGTAATGTAGGAAAGTATTATGCACCATTAAAATAATGTTGCTAAAACTTTACTAATAGGGAAAATTCTTATTATGGTATTAAGGGAGAAAAGTAGCATATAGAATTGTAGACACAGTCCGATCACAACTGTGTAAAGAACCCTGGAGGGAGATGTGGCAACGTGTTAGCAGAAGTAGCCTCTGGTGCTGGAATTATGGGTACTTGTTTCTCCCTCTTTTCCAATGCCATCTCTTTTTTCATTTGTTGTACTTTCCACATTTTCTAAAATGAGCTAATATTGCTTTTGCACTCAGGAGAAGTTTTTTACAAAAAGTATGTAAGTAGAAAAGGTAAAAAGATTGCTTAAAAGGTAGAAAAATTGAGAGGCAGAATTAGTCATGATCCCAGCGACCAATATGGTTGTCCTTTTACTCTCTGTTGAAGAATAACTATTATAGTTCTGAAGTATATGACATTCAAATACTCAGCTCATAACAGAGATTTAAAATCTCTGCTATAGTTACTAGAATACACCTGACTGACTCCCTGTTGCAACATGGGGATCACTGCATTTCACACGGAACGTGGAAATGATGTGCCTCCTGACCTGATGATGTGTCACCACCTTTGTCCTCCTTGTGGATGACCCAAAGGGGGGCTGTCCTAGCTGCTTGGGATCACATCTTCTGCTGATTGCTCGACAAGCATCTGTGGCCTTGTGGAGGGAGGCAGGAGGCTTTAGAGCATCATATGTAGCTGATTTATCAAGCTCTTTTACGCTTCTCTGCCTTCTCCATTCTGCATTGCACTCCAGAGAGGTAAAACACGCCGGCCTCTGTGTCCACCTTGCCTCTCTCTGGTCTGTTCTTCACAAGCAGTCAGAGTGATCTGTCTACAGTGCCTGGACTGGTCACTTTCCTCCCCTGCTTACCAGTTGGAGTGGCCCTCCACTGACTTCAGGATAGGGCTTAAAGCGTCCAGCTTGGCAGGCTCTGTGGCTGGCAGCCCCTTCCTTGATGTTCCTTGCCAAGTGCCTCACACTCTTAAGGTGACCAGATGTCCCACTTTTGGCGGAACAGTCCTGATTTTTAACAATTTGTCCCATGTCCCACAGTGTTTTAAAAAAGTCCCAATTTTTGGAAAGAATGCACGACAAGCTAGGGAATGGTGGGAGAACGGGAAGGGAATGTACGGTTTTCAGCTGCCATGTGGCTATTTCACCAGGATATGAGCTTTATATTATTTTTGTTAATTTTATAATATTAAACTTTAATAATAACAAATAATTCCTGATTATCAAGAACTGCTTATCAAAGTTCACACGGTTGATCAGTTGTTAGAATTCGACCACCATTGTTTGGACTTAATGAACAATGGCATTTTTTGGCATTGGCAACCATGAAAACATTTTGTAACTGTCTCTCAGATGATACACATCATATGGTGTGCTAGTGCTAGTTAAACAAGTGATGTCAACAAATCAGCTATCCAGATAATTTAGGTAAGTAATTTATTTATTTATTTTGCGAATTTAGCAGACAGTACTTGTATTATTTATATTTTATAGTGGCGGCAAAAAGTCTAGCACCGGCCTTGAAAGTGACATGACTTACAAGGTATCATTATTAAAAAAATATATTGATAAGGCAAAGGTTAAATCTTGGGCATCAGCAAAAATCACAATAGAGAACAAATGGTTAGAAATATTTCATCATTTTGAAACAAACCATGTTCCATACAATAATGCATTAAAAATTGTGGGATACGTGCTGTCCTTACCCGGAACTAATGCTGCAACTAAACGCGTTTTTTCCTATGGTAAATAAAGCGTGGACATAAGAAAAATCACAATTAAGTGTTGAGACTTTGAAAGCCATTTTATGTGTGAAATATAATTTAACAAATTCTTGTGAAAAATGTCATGACCTTTTAAACAACGACAGCAATCTACTAAAAAAAAATTCACTCAAATGAGAAATATGCGAAAGAATAAAATAATACTATACATAATATTTTAATGTATTTTATTTGTAAATTGTACTTATGTTAAAATTTAAAAAATATATTACAATACTATTTTTGCATTCTATGAAAATTTTTGTTGCTCCATATAGACCAAATTTTTAATTAAGATCCCCCCTCCCCAGTGGTGTCCCGCTTTATCAATGTTAAAATCTGGTCACCTTATCTAAATTGCTTGTGGCTTCCCTGAAGCACCCGCCTGTCTCTGGCCTCTGAGCCTCCACGTGTGCCGTTTCCTCTCTCTAGAGTCTCTACTATCAGGTGTCACCTACTTTTATTCTTGAGGTCTCAGGTGGCCATGCTAATGCCATCTTCTCAGGGACATCTTCCCTGGTCCTTTCCTTAAGCTCAGAGCAGCCTGTGCTTACCTGCCTTGCTTCTGATCACTAGTACTTATTTATATGTCTGTCTCCTAGACAGCGCAGGACTGGGCGTGTCTTTCCCCACAGCACCCTGAAAAGTGTCTGACATGTGGTAGGCACTCAGTATATACAGTATTTGCCAAACAAATGTGTCCAGCTAATGGAAATCCAAAGGTAAAGACAACCGTGTGTCCTCCTTTAAATGAACATGGGTTGCTGAACACTAACATGGCCATGTGGTAACGTCAAAAAGGGGAAATTTCAAGTTTTTGTGACAATATTAACTTTTATGCAGCTTTTAGTGGGGCTGCTTGTGTCTTTAAGGGGTCTTATGCAAGGTACTGAATTTTGTTGGACTTGAAGGCTCTGTGATCTAATTTCTTAGGCTTTAGTATGCAGCTTTAACTTGCAGGTGATTAGTATTTTATCCATTTGGCCTTTAATTTGCCTCTATGATAAATTTTCCAAGAACTGGTGGAGGCACTGGCCTTAAGGTTCCTCTGACATGACTTGAACAAACTTTATCAGGGGCCCTCAGCCACAACAAATTATACTAAGGCTAATTAGCACACACACATACACACACACACACACATATATATATTTTACTTTAGATTCTTGAGCAACAGCTTCAGCAGATGAAGGCAACTTATCAGCTAAACCAAGAGAAGTTAGAGTACAACTTCCAGGTGCTGAAGAAGAGAGACGAAGAGAGCACAGTGATCAAATCCCAGCAGAAGAGGAGGATTAACCGGTAGGCTGGCGTGCACGTCACCCTTCTTCTGGGCCCTCCTGTGCTGAGAACAGGGATGAGTATGCACTTTTCTGAAGGGGTAGAAGCTGCAAAAACTATAATGAACTCTCATGAAAAGAGTTTTTTGAAAAAGTTAACATATTCAAGTGGTTCTACCCTTTCCCCACAAGGAAAAGAAAATCTAGCAAAACACCATTCTCCGACCTCTCATGTGTCCTGCTCCTCTTTCCCATCACCATTGTTTGCTTCTTCCAGAAATTCTTCACGCATATGCAAGCATGTACAAGTAAACATTCTTATCCCCCCTCCACTTTTACACAAGTGGTGGCATTTTATGCACACCGTTCTGTGTCTTAAAGACCTTTCATACCAGCTCCCAGGGAGGGTTCACATGGTTTCTCACGCTGTTCAGTACTCTGCCGCATAGACATGCTGCCGACAGACATGCAGATGACTTCTCTTTTGCCATTGCAAATCCTACCAACGTGAGTGCCCCTGGCAGTGTGCTGGTCTGTTTTTGTGTGGATACTGTGGCTCATTAGAACTTACCACTTGTCTCCTTCCTTCCATATCTTCAACTTTTCTTCCTTTAAGAATTATCTCCTGAGTGCCAGACCATTGTGCTAGGCTCTGACCATTGCACTAGGACCAGAGTAGAATAAAAAATCTCATTTAGGGGCTGAGTGCAGTAGCTCACACCTGTAATCCTAGCACTTTGGGAGGCCAAGGCAGGGGGATTGCTTGAGCTCACAAGTTCGAGACCAGAAAAACTGAGGTGAGAGGATTGCTTGAGCCTGAGTTGGAGGTCGCTGGGAGCTATGATGCTGTGGCACTCTACCCAGGGCAACAGCTTGAAACTCTGTCTCAAAAAACAAACAAACAAAAAACCTATCTCCTTTAAAGGACACAAAATTGAAGATTTCCCCCAAAGTCCAAATAACCTCTTATTATTTATGAATTGTTCCATTTGTAGGTTGATTATACACTGTGGACAAATGTTGGGTATACAGAGAAATACTAGGTGACCTTTTCATAGTTACTTATAAAAGAAACTAATACGGAGTAAATAAGCCAGTATTTTAAGCCTGATTGTCTGGGAGCTGAGGGAAGTTAGGAGATAATATGGGAAATCTCACATATGCATTCTACCATTAACAGACAGGCGAATATCCCAGAGGGACACAAAACCAATGCATTGAAGAGTTAGTTATAGGGGAAAGCTTCCCCAGGCAGTGAAATAGAGAAGGGGACAGGGATATGGGGAGGCAGAACGGAAGAGACTCCAAGTAGACAGTGTTGGTAGCTGGGAATGGTCAGTCTGAAGGCAGGAGGTAAGACTCAGAAAGTTAGGCTTGGTGTGTGTGGCTCAAGTGGCTAAGGCGCCAGCCACATACACCTAAGGTGGTGAGTTCGAATCCAGCCTGGGCCCACCAAACAACGATGATGGCTGCAACCAAAAAAATAGCCAGGCATTGTGGCGGGTGCCTGTGGTCCCAGCTACTTGGGAGGCTGCAGCAGGAGACTTGCTTGAGCCCAGGAGTTGGCAGGTGCTGAAGAAGAGAGACG